ATTTTTGTTGACCTTTGTCCATGGAAGGTCCCTGCAAAATTTCATTGAAATTGGTTCAGGGGTTTTGGAGAAGAAGTCGAAAATGTAAATTGTTTACGGACGCACGACGGACGACGACGGACAAAAGGCGATCGCAATTGTGGCCTTTGGAGCACCTGAGACAAAGTCTCAAGTGACCTAAAAATTTACAAATATTTCTGTGTTTTAATTCTGTCAGTAAGTGTTATTTTTAAACTCTATTTCTCCAAAGGCCACAATATGTTTCTGCACTCCTAAAGCGATGAATAAACAGACAAGATGTTGATAAACATTTTCATTTCAAACAACCTGGACATGATTTCATTGGCCATCCTTTTAATTATAACGCCTCACACAATGCTTTTTGCCAGCATCTAATTCCCTTGTGATGTCATGGTTTACTACAACTATTTCATTGATTGGAAATTAAACAAGAATCATGTACATATATTTCCAAGAGAGACATTTTTGTTTGTTTTCAAGATGTAACATGAACACTTTCGGGGAAAAAGGAAGAACAAACTTGCGATGGCTGGTTATATTTATCATGTTTATCTACCTCTCATTAGTTAACTCACAAATTGTAAAAAGATACTAAGTAAACTGTGAAGTGACAGCGATGTCTGGTTATATCATGTTTATCTACCTCTCATTAGTTAACTTACAAATTGTAAAAAAGATAATAAGTAAACCTTGGAAGTGAACAACTTGGCTCTGGAATAATATTTTAACAGCGATTGCTGCACAAATTCAGATTGACTTATACTTCAACTGGTCCAGTGAACCAAGTTGAGCTCATGATGTACAGTGGCATCCTTTGTCTGTTGTTCTTCATTACTGATATTTAACCAAATATGACTGAAGATATCCTTTGGTGGTGAGATTTCAAAACTGTTTGAACAGAGGGACTCAGAGTTGAGACTAGAAAGGAGTAACTTGGCCAGGTTTCTTTTCAAAACATAAGTGACCACTCCTCTGGAACTACCCAGTAGTGAAGCGGACGTAAAACCTATCAATCAATCAGTCAATCACTATCAGATGGATATCGACAAAGTTTTGTTTGGAACATCCTCAGGAGGTGATCCTTAAATTGATCACACGGAGAAGCAGAACAAAAAATGTACAATTTGACAACATTGCTTTATGTGACTTCTCTCTTGGAAAAGTGAAGAATATCAACCTTATTTGATCTTAAGCATCCTCAGATGGTAATTACTCAAACTTGTACAAATAGAGAAGCTAAAATTAAGGGCAGCTGAAGGATGGAGCTAAAACTGGGTGATGAATTAAAAATGGCATCAAGAGCAAATACATGGACACAAATGCTTCCAAGATTGGTCCTGGGGTTCAGAACTAAGTCCCCTGGTCATATCATAGAAACATCAAGATCCATAACCATGCATAGAATTGCTGGACGTAAAGTGACAAACACAATTACCAGTATGCCTTTAGGATTTGCCCAGGGTTGTAACCCTGCCCCTGGTGACTTAGTCCCTTGATCATATTATGGAAAGGGTTGAGATCCCCATTCTTTACCTGACCCTGGGGTCCATCCAGGGATCATTACAAACATCATCTAAATTGATTTTGAAGCAACCCTTGAGACAAGAGAATCAAATACAATGTCTTACATAAAAGTATGGTGCTAGCTGCCTTGTACTGGATGCTTAGAAGGAGAGCTTTGGGAACACATTTAATGAAAAGTTTTTGCCAAGATCTCCGAAATATCCTGGTGAGCAATGTACACAGGCTTTGCAGGTCTCTTGCTTTAAAAAGTACACAATTTACAAAAATATATGACATACCATAAATATGACATGTCATGCTACGAAGCAGTCTTCAACAAATAGTTCTAGACACAATTTCATTTTTCAGAAACGAAAAGATAGATATCACAGTCACTCTAGATCTGTTTATTTTATAACAATCTGCGTAGGGACATAGTGATAGACATTTAAACTATAAGATAGCAAACAAAATGTGAACATTTTATCTAAAATGGATGTTATGATGACATGTGACTTAAAACATCAGTTGACACTTACTTTTACTGGACATTAACTTCCATGAAATATATTGATTTTAGTATGAAATCATTTTAAGACTTTGTTTACAGACAGTCTGGGATATAATTCTTTCAGGAAAAGATTGGTGAGGTGGATACACTAAAACTTGAAAACTGACAGGTGACAAGCACATGTCCTGCAGAGTGCAGTGTCGTTCACAAACCATCCATAAATCATAATTTTAATGCAGCAGTTTTCTTGAAAGTGCATGGAATCTGCCCATCATCAAACTCAGTCTGAGTCTATAACTAAACCCCACCTTGCTAGGTCCTTCAATCATAATCAACAGTCAGAACATGAGCTATTTCTTTAATTGTTTTCCTATTTTTAGTAAACAGTGACCTTTACTTCTACTCCTTATCTCACAAAAGCTATACAAGTCTGTTTCAATAATGACTAATACACATACAGTATGAAGTTTGAAAGCAATCAGAGAATTGGAATCCAGTTGTTATCTGGAAAAGAATCTGCAGACATCTGGCAGACGTATCGTTTAACAGACGAAGTAATTACTGTACGGTACACTTGTGACATCTGTATAAGTTTGACTCTTCACAGGGACAAGTAAAATATTCAAACCATATATCACTCATCTGTTTCTATTTATAAACAATATTCTGTAATGTGTAGATCTTATAACCACTTACCTTTAAGGTATCTCCATAAAAGTTCTCCACAAACAAATCGTTGGTAGAAACGGTCACAAGTAAGGCACCTCCATAGGTGAAAAAACAAAACAAAAAGAAATATCGCTGATTGTAAAATCCCACACAGGTATTAAGCCAAGCTGGATAACGATAAGGAAATGAGAATTGAAGCTTCATTGAGTTTATGCCTAGAGGACGATAGGTTATTATCCTGGTCACAGTGCCAAAATATGACATGGGCAGGAAAAGAACAAGATCTGAACCCGGAACCATAAAACATTGATCATTGATTTAATTACACACAAGTCATCTTCATGGTCATTGACACAGTTCAAATCAGCTAAAATAGTACACGTGGAACATGTAAGGAGATAATAACTCTGTTTTCAACCTATGCTTTGTTTCATAAAAGTACATATATATTCCCAGATAGATCTCTAATAGGATTACATGATAATGTGGTGAACATGAAGCAGAGTGAAAGACAAAAAAAAAAAAAATACAAGTTAATACTTCATGTTATCTCTCAACACTGAAACGGATTAAAGGGTGGAAGCAGGAATTGGTAACTGAGATGGTTTTCAGAATAAGTGCCCGACTTAGTATTCATAAGGATACGACAATGATGGTCCATCTTCAAAACACACTTTCCACATGTCTTACAGTGATGTGTTCGAGCTGGTTTCTTGGAGAAACATTTACGACATACGGATACTGGATTCTCAACAGCCTGAAAGAAAATGAGTGGAATGTAAAATTAAAAGAGAGATGTTTTTCACCACACATACATGTACATATAGGCTATTAAAGCTAGAGAGCAATGCATTGTCAGTTGGAGACTAACTTTGCTTGAGTGACTCTCCTATAGCTAATAAAGCTGATTTTGTGAAATGATCCTTCATTAAATATGTTTAAAAATCAATGATATAAAAGCTTAAAATCAGACATAATTTGATTTATGTAAACTGTAAGATTTCTGTTTGTACAGCTTTGGAAATCTGTTGTTTAGTTCCTCAAAAAAACATTGAATATAATTATTTTATCTTCATACATCCAGAAGTTACCATACTTTTTCATCTAATTTACTTTCATGGATTAGTTATAGTGTATAAGGACTGTGACTTCAAAATTAGTAACTAGTTAGACAACATTTTTTTTTTTTTTTTTTTAATGCAAGGTAGTCTAGTGTTAGGACACGGGGCTCGTGACCAAAGGATTGCGGCTTCGAGTCACGGCACGGCACTGTACATGTTTTATCTTTGAACAAGATACTTTACTCCGCTTGTTCCAGTCTACTCAGCTGTAAACGAGTTTGTGGTTGGGCAGGGTTAGAATTGTAGAATGCTAGCTGTGAGTGACGAAATGGCAGCACCGGCTGTATGCTCCCCAGGGAGTTGAGAAACATATTGGCTGGGTGCAAAGGCCCTATAACCACGGATAATAATTTGTGAACCTCTTTGAGACGACCTACGAACTAGGTTGTGATAAAGCGGTACTAGTATATAAGAACCTCAAATTATTATTATTAATGCAAAGTAACTTCACAGAGATCTCTCCACTGTGTTTTACTGTAAATTCCTGTGGCATTATTATATAAGGAGCTTCTCCAAGACCTTTTGAACTGTACATACTTGTACCTGGCTTTGGGAAGGGTCTCCCCAGATCTTTTGTTACTCTACATACCTGAGGAGGATAGCCTGGGCCGGTGACGACTGCCATGATATAGTTGTATGAAGTGTTGATCAGGAGCCAGGATCCCAGGAAGAAAATGATGACTGCTGAAGGCTTACTAGTGTTGTACAGGTGAGGAAGTACATACACCACATATATCAGGTTCACCACAGCCATAAGGCCCACCACTAACACCATGCATGCCTGTTAAACAACACATGTATTTATTAACTCGTAAATCATATTTACTTCATGGAAGGATCATCACATATTATACCATCTCCATACTATTACTAGTTTTATGTCTGCTAACTGTGTCAATAAATCAATTTATTTGGATCCCAGTTACTAAGTTATAGGAAAGATGTATGATTCAACCATTACAAATTCAAGGGGCCAACATATACATGTTCCATTCTGGTGGATGGATGCTCTGTTTATAGTATCAATACTTAGTGCCAAGAAAGGAAGTAACAGATACTGTGCTGTTGACTGTCAGACATCTTTGCTATGATTAGGTGATTTTCAGATCACTGAAACCAACTATCAAGATGTAAACCTTTAGTGACAGGAGTGGAGGAATATGATGCAGACCCAGATTCAAACCTGTGGTCTCCAAACTATGAAAAGAACAAGAGGCCCAATGGGCCTGCATCGCTCACCTGGTATAAAACTCACACTTGTAACCTTAAAAGTGATCTAAAATAAAACTACAGGCAAAATATCAGTATTTATGATTAAAATTCGTCCAAAAGACCCTGTTCATTTTTTTTGGAACATTTCACCCCTGTGATTGAAAGTCGAACAAAGTCATTATGTTGAACACATTGTATAGCCTTTCATCTTAGGATGCAACTTGCAAAATATAAACATCCTGGGACCCATGGTTATTCA